GCAGAAGGCACTTGACGCTCGCGGGGGAGGGCCCCCCGGAGTGGTGGCACACGGTGGGGGGCAGCGGCTGGGGCACGGAGCAGAGTGGCCAGTGGGGCAGGGGCGCAGGCTCAGTAGTGTTCGAGCTTCAGGCTCTTATACAGGCAGCAGGTGAAGATCATGCCAAAGACCTGCGAGGGGCGGGCGCCGGCATGGGTGCGCCGCGGCCACTCGCCCAGGCCTCACCACCGCAGCCCAGCCCAGCCCAGCCCGCACCTGCACGCAGGCCACGCCCAGGCCCACGGCCCCGATGATCCTCAGGTGCTCCTGGATGAAGGTCTCCAGCTTGGTGATGCAGCCGCCCTGACAGGCAGGCGCGGGCGTTCAGGGCCAGGAGCAGTCGGGGAGGCCGGCCGCTGCCCGCCTGCCCGCCCGCCCGCCCGCCGCGTACCCACCTCCACCTTGTAGATGTTGGAGGCGTGGTCCCGCTGCCCGCAGTGCGGCACCACCGTCTTGCAGCAGCTGTCCGGCACCACCCGGCCACTAGCCTCACCTGAGCGGATCCACTCACTGTCCCGCCAGTCCTGGGAGTTGTTGCTGCCACAGCAGCGGAACTGGGGGGACACGGCGGCTGAGCGCCCTGCGGCCCTGGGGACCCCAGCCTCGGCCCAGCCCGCCGGCCCCCACCTCCTGCTGCAGCTTGTCCACTGCGCTGGTCACGCCCTCGTGGCCCCCCAGGTGGTAGCGCTTCGTCATGGTGTCCTTCAGGTTCTCCTTGAGCTCAGCATTCAGCTGGGGGCATGCAGAGGCTCAGCCCTCGTGGGGGGCGGGGGGCGGGGCTTGGCAGCTGCGCAGCCCCAGAGCTCCCCGGGAGCCTGGCCGTGGCCAGCCGTGGCGCCCACCTGCCCCGCGGGCACGGCCCGCCACGGGCGTGCACTGGGCTGGCCGCTCCGCCCGCCGGCCCTCACCTGCTGGTAGTAGACATAGGCCAGCACCCCGGCAATGATCTCCAGCAAGAAGATGAGCAGCAGCAGGATGAAGTACTGGGGGGCAGAACCAGTGAGGCGGGTGCACACCCTGCTCGGGATGCACCCCCAGGGTCCAGGCCAGCGCCCGTGGCACTGCGGCTCGGGAGTCATGGGACATGGACCCACCACGCGTCCTCGGCAGCTGCCAACTCAGCTGGCCAGGCTGTGAGGTGTGGTCACTCCCTCAAGGCCCCACCTGGGTCCTCCTCCCCTCCCGCCCGGGTGGCCGCGCCCTGCTGACCAGGCGCAGCAGATTTCGTCGCTCCTTGAAGGTGGCACAGCAGCCCAGGGCCCCGGTCACCATGACGACAATGCCAGCCACCACCAGCAGGTAGGCCGTGGCCAGGTAGGTGCCTGAGGCCAGCAGGCTGATGTAGTCGCTCTTCAGGGCCAGCGTCCAGATGCCCACTGCCATGACAGCCAGGCCAGCCAGCTGTGGGCACAGGTCAGTTA